GACATGATATCACAGGCGATTGTCCTATGACTGTAGACACTTCTCAGCATACAGTACTATTTGATCTATAAAATGTGTAAAATAAACATTTGCAGGTTAAAGAAACAGCATAGGTGGGGCCTTGGTGCAGATGAAAAGTTTAAAAAGTGTATTTGTATATAGAGAGACATGGATAACTAGATAGAATAGACAGAGATAGGTTGATCTCTGCAGCAGCTGCCGAAGAGCTGCGCGCTGCAGACGCAGCTGGTGTGAAAGGCAAACGCCTGCGTGCTGCTACTGCTCGACATACGCGCTGCTCACGCTCTGCTCACGCGCCGCTGACGCTTGCGGTGTGAAACAGGCGTTACTCGCGGCGTCGCGGGCTGATTCCGGCTCGCATGCGGCAGCGCCTGCTCGCTCGGCCGCCGCATCTGGCTCGATTGACTCGGGCTGGAATTGGGTAGTGAGTCCAGGCATCCGGAGTAGGTCCAGCAGAGGTAACATTAGTCAGTCTGAGCTCTAAGAGATAAGTCTCCGGCAGGCGAGAATCTAGCCGGAACTGTGTTTTGCTATCTGGGTGGCTAGGCGTGTATCAGCAAACTAATAAAGCCCGAAAAAAGCCCTGAACTTAGCGAATAAACAGTGTTCCACCAGGATCATGTATGTCAGAAACTATAGTTTATTGCTGAACTCATTTTGTCATGGTAAAATAACACAGAAATCGAATAATAACATTTCAGTCTACTTCAGTCTCCTGCCGAAGCTCAGACGCCGCGCTTTGAGAAACTGTCAATCACAGCTGTCAATCACGATGACACGCCCAGCATTAAATTACTGCTAAAAACAAACTGTTTACAAAAATGAAGATCTGCACCTATTTCAGCACAATAACCAGTGCCTTAATCGACCAGAACTATCTTTCGGGACTATTTTATTGCAAGTGTAACATTTTTTTTATTTGGGCTCAAGTCTCCTTCATTAACACGGAGGAGGCGGGCTTTATGACTTGTACTGCAGCCAGCCCCCAGGGGGCGATCTAACGGCCGAAACCTTCACTCAAACGTAGGCTTGCGGCACACTTGGTTTGGTGTGCTGTCCTTGGAGAGGCCCTGACCTTATAAGATCTCCAAGCTCGGGGCTCCCCCAGTTTGCAGGGCAAGAGGGGAGTTTGAGCTCAGGTAGATTTCGAAAATTCCCCTGCTGTTTGTAGCTAATTAACAATTAGGGATTGTTATGAAGAGATATAGTGCCAATTTGGATTAGTCAATAAACTCCCGGGGTAAACCACCGGGAGTATGGGGAGAACATGTAAACTCCACACAGAAATGTTGACTGGTTTGGTAAGGACTAGAATCAGTGATGTTCTTGCTCTGAGGCAGCAACCACTGGGCCGCCATGCCGCCCATTCTAGGAAAGGAGGAAGAATAGGGGTGGAAGGGGGATTCTAAATAGATTTAGTTGAGCAATTCTTAAAGAATACAACATAGCAAGGTTTTCTCCATTAATCTATAGAACTTTCACGCACACAAACATGAATGTAATAGCATTTTTAAAAAATATTTTTTTGCACTGTATACTGCATTGTATTGTAAATATAATGTATTAAAGTGCTTACTTATCTGAAAACTCCCCTTCTGACTACTCTTACATATTTTACATCTTGGCACAAGGGGGCAGCCGCAAGCAAAAATTGGATTTGAGCTTGAGCAAGCAGAGCCCGAGCCATTTAAATCAAACTGAAAACAGAGCAAAGATTGTGGACGGTGAGAGCATGGAGACAGACGAAAAAATCGAAAAGACTGCGCGGAGAGAGAGAGCTGCCGGCAGGACATCTGAATAGACTCGTCACGCTGTGCCACTATCTAGTGTAATAACATTAGAGTCAAAGTCTGATGCTCACTAATGACTGCATTTATCTCAAACTCCCCTCCTTCAACTGCACGGATAACACAGAACCACCAAGCTAATGAGAGAGATGAATCTCAGCAAGACAGCAAAAGCAAAGCCCTTCAAAAACCGACGCAAAATGGCATTAAACCAAAGCTTAAATGATGTATACAGAGCTTACAGGTTTGCAGACTTCTGTACACAAAGAGCAAAATATTGCTGTTCATTTCTCTTGATGCTACCTACCTATGCTGTTTTAAACAATATCTGTTTGTTTGTACAATCCTGTCGGACTCAGTTTTGGTCTTTAAGTCTTATTTGATTCTCATTATTTAAATTTCAAGCATATTTTAATGTGGTCATGTCATTGGTCCATGAACATGTCCTGCTTGTTCAAACTATTTCATAACTGTAACAAGAGGCAATTCAATCATAACTTAATATTAAAACAGCAATCATAACATTATTCACCAATATGTGTCTCTTTTTGGGTTCTCGGAAGCTAAAGAACTAAAAAATGTAAAACAGGAAATACATTGGGACCATTGTTTTTGTTTATATCGCTCAAAATGGTCTATAGAGGTTCTAGAGGGAACCTCATAATAGCAAGCTTGTCTCACTCTCGCCTCCCACCCCTAAATTTAGAATTGTGGAATAATTGAACAGTGAAACAAAACTACATGAAGTTTGTACCTAAACAGACTGAACAACAAATGGTTAGGAATTAGGGCTGCACAATATCGCTTAGCATCGATATCCGCAATAGTCACATCGCAAGATATGCAATGTTAAATCTAAATTATAATTGACCAAGAGCTACAGAATTGTATATAATTACTGTATTTATACAGAATTGATACAATTTATGCAAAAAAAAAAATAAAAATCTTACTTAGAATATTTTGTCTTGTTTCTGGTCCAAATATCTACATTTTAAAGTGAAAATAAGATTATTTTACTTACCTAACTGGCAGATAATTTCGCTTGTTTAAAAAAAAACACTCTTAATTTTGAGTGGAATTTTAAATATTTTTTTTTACTTGATCAACATTTTTTAAAAATATTTGGACTAGAAACGAGATAATTATTTTTTTTAAAAAGTTCAATGTGAATTTTTAATTTCTGTACCCAAATATGTTAGACTTTAAATAGTCGCTCAGTTGGTAGCACATTTGCCTCACAGCAAGAAGGTCGCTGGTTCGAGCCTGGGTCAGTTGGCATTTCTGGGAGTTTGCATGTTCTCCCTATGTTCGCATGGGTTTCCTCCGGGTACAGCTGGAAGGGCATCCGCTGCGTAAAACATATGCTGGATAAGGCGGCGGTTCATTCCGCTGTGGTGACCCCTGATTAATAAAGAGACTTAGCCAAAAAGAAAATGAATGAATGAATATAAGATTTTTCCAATATTGTGCAGCCCTATAAGGATTGTGTTTTTTAATCTGTTTGGACACATTAACCAACTGCACAAAGCAAGAAATAACTGTAAATGAGATATGAATTGTGACTCATTCTTGTCGCCAGATCTTGGTGAAAAAAAAAAAAACAGCAAACAAGGATATGTCTATTATAGACAGAGATAAATTTAAATACTTTATGAAAACTAATATCAATATATCAATATGTGCATGCGACTGATTTAATAGCTATAATAAACTTGATAGATTCATGAGTAAATCATAAAAACAAACAAGTCCACAAAAGCTTATTATAAGTGAACATGGCAACACTGTATGTGTGCACAAACCATGATGCCTCTGTTGTCAGGTTTGATGTTGTAAAATATACAATATAAATTGGTTAAAAATAGTGAATTCCAAACACGTGAGATGCCTGACAGTCAATTACCAACCATCCAGGTTTGTCATGTTTTGAAGGCTAAACACACGGAACAATTTGGAGAATTTCCTCGCCAATTTAAATGTGTCCATCATTCCAAAAGCTGATTGGGAGTACATTGCCTAAACTGTCTGGTTGTTCTGATAAGATTGAGTTTACAATTAAATATCAAATAGAGTGAACTATCTTGTGAACCCCAAGTGCTGGGAAACAACCATACCCGCTCTCATCCACACACAAATTCAGACTATGGACAGTTTAGTTTATTTAATTCACTCAGCCTGGATCTTAATAATAATTATAATCTTAATCTGTCATGCTTGTATGACAACTTGTTTTGCTGGCTTGACAAAATTGGCTTGATAAAAACTTCTAGAGAGATTGCGGAGTGACATATAAAATAATAAATTACAAAAAAAGTACAATAAATAATTCTGAATGCAGGATAAGATAAATGTCAAAGTTGGGCCCCTAAAAGTATGAGTGGTCCCCGCCTGACCCCCTCAGTTACTGTGATCTAGAACTTCCACCAAGTTTTTATAGTCATTCTAACAAATAAAGATGTGTACTGTGATATATACGATCAGTTTTAATTGTAAGATACATCATATTTTGAGATTTGTGAGGTTGCAAACTACAATATACAATCTCTAGTATTCAATTCAATTCAGCTTTATTTGTATAGCGCTTTTACAATGTAGATTGTGTCAAAGCAGCTTCACATAAATGATCATAGTAACTGAAACAGTGTAGTTCAGTATTTAGTGTTTAAGTTCAGTTTAGCTCAGTTCAGTGTGATTTAAATCATTACAGAGTTCAAACACTGAAGAGCAAACTCATCAATGCGTAGCTCTACCAATCCTGAACCATGCGAGCCAGTGGCGACAGCGGAGAGGGAAAAAAAACTTCACCAGATATGAGTGAAGAAAAAAAACCTTGAGAGAACCAGACTCAGTTGGGCATGACCATTTTAATTTCTCCGCTGGCCAAAAGTCTTGTACTTTTAGTATAGTACGAGTGTGCTTATATGAACTGTCTTTTAGTTAATAACATGTATGGTGATAATGAATAAATGTATGATGAAGCCTTTAATTAATATACATGAAAGTATCACTTAACATATTAATATAATAAACTGTTAATTGCAAATTTTATAATCATTAATGAATCGTTTAGTTCTTGATTGGTCATACTTTAACCCATGATTATGATAACCCATGATTATTACCTATAAGTGTTGTAAAATGATTTCAAATTAATTTTAAAGCACTTTCATAGGTTCACATGCATCTCACCTCCAACAGAGAGGCTGCGTTAGCCAGGTCGGGAGAGCGAACCACCACGCAGGTGTCCAGGTTTCTCTGTGTTCGAGCTGTGTGAGCAGCACAAAACAAACAGGCTATTTAGCACATCTGTCATTTCTTATGAGGCAGAGGATTATTAATAATAACAGTTTCCACCTTCGAAGCGCAGGTTGCCCATATGTAGGATGGCAGCCAACAGTTTGGAGATCTCCCAGTATTCAGTTTCGGTAAACATCAGGATCTTCATGGCTGACAGGATGCTGGAGTATTCCTTCATATCATCCCTCCCTTCACAGACAGTACAGTTCCCCTGGATGACAGGAAAAGAGAGAGGGAGACTGTATATATATATATATATATATATATATATATATATATATATATATATATATATGTTTCCACAACCTTTGTTCCTAGGCTTGGTTTTTTGCATAAAAATGTTACACGGCAGTATATATTACAGTATATGCCTCGTGAATCACCAAACTTGTATATATATTTTGTAATTTGGTGGGAAACAAATGAATGCCTTTGCTACATATTTCTATACAATGGAATTAATGTGGAAAGGTTATTTTTAAGCTCCAAAATTGCAATGAACAAAAATAAAAACAATTACTATGACTTTGTTGAATATGAAGCATGAACCATATGGACCACGTCCATTACATCATTTTATGCCATTTATTTTGTTATGTTGGAGCTTATAAGACCAAGTCCAGATTACTTTAATTATATGATAAAACAAGCAATCAGAATATTCTTCAAAGGAATGCACAATTTTTGGGAATGAAAACCCTATTATGCTCTTCTAAAAGTTTCTAATTTTCTTTTCTTTTGGAGGTCTTACACAACAGATTTACATCTATCCAAGGTCAAGATCATATAAGATAAACTACAGCAGGGATTTGGACCAAATCAAAGGTCCAAAACTGAATTTTCATCGATGCCAAACATCTGGAAAAACTGGCTATAACAAAGTTAGATTTTAATAATAATGCACATACTTACATGAACCATTGAAAAAATGAAATACTTTTTTAAAAATATATAATAATAGCAAGTATCAAAATGGCCAAATGATTAGTGGAACTCAATTTAAGTGTCAGCAATTATTAAGAAAAATAAAAAAAACATACAAACAAACCAGAGGTAGGTCAAAAGTCACATGGTTAAAAATACAGAGCAATGTAATGTGAGCAATGGCACTGTCTGTTTCATTGGCTTTTGTTTCACAATAGATTTTGACATTTCCACTCTTCACAACTCCAACTGTCTCATTCCAAATCAAACAGGGTAATATAAATGCATACCTGTCTGTCAAATCATCTTTGAAAACTCAAATTTTCTTTGTCAACTTTTCTATTTTGGAAACTGACAACGTGTCCGTATCAGGACTGGAATCTGAACTTTAAAAAGTCCTGCACTCTTTTCTCTCAGTGTCAAAAAACGATTTCTGAGCGTCTACTCAGTTCTGATTGGTCAGATGGCTTAGTCTGGCTACTTTCATTACTTGTCAGAAAACAAACACCCATTACTACATCAGAATTTTCAGCAACAAATTTTCAGTTGCACTACAGCACTTTACTCAATGACAAGAATGGCTTTCGTCTACTAAAGGAGGTCAAGCCTTCTCATTTATGGCTCCTAAACACTGGAATAGCCTTCCTGATAATGTCAAAAGCTCATTTGACAAACTCTCGCAGTTCAAAACTAGATTCAAGACCTATCTTTCTAGTAAAGCATACACACAATGAATCACAAAACGATATGAAGCATGAGGGTGCTACACAGTTTAGCAAGCTTGACAACCACTTGACATATGCTTTACATGTTTGTTTCTATGTTTGTTTGTATAACTACTATTTTCCTTTATAACACTTCATTTTTGCATCTCGTTTAAACACATACTATGAACAGAAGCTATGCAAATTATTTTCTTTATTCTCTATTTCTACTTAAGGACACTCATCTCGAGGACCGTAAAGACCATGTAGCTTCATTGATGCGATCCAAGACCTGTGAAGAAATGATGCCACGGTATCCATAATTCTGGACCAGGCTGTATTGTGAGCTGATGCTGTGGTGGTCATGGAAGAGTGGAGTGCATGAGACTGATTCCTGAAAGACCCCAGTGACAGACGAGTCTTTGCACTGATCCAGTGGGCCAGTATGATCTTCATGATGGACATCCAGGGTTCCCCTTCGGTTGGGGAACTTCAGTGCCATGAATGGGAGGATTCGGATCAGAAGCCGCTTATCTGGAGAGTATTGAACGGGCCAATGAATGAAATTAATTGGCAGCGTAAGCTTGCGCAGGTGTGCGACATCTGCAATTATCTCAGCATATAAGCACACCTGAAGCCAGCAGACGCCATCCTTTTCGCTTCAGATCCTTTCTGAGTGAGTCGATGAGGGTTCCTCTTGCTGATCAGCACTTCAGAGCGAACGAGTGTGTCTCCCGGTCCAGAGTGGGTCTTCGCGGTGGCAGACGGTCGAGCTGGGTTACTCCCTTGCCTGCGGTTCTTTGGGCTCCTCCAGAGCGGTGCGTATAGTTGCAACTTTCTTAAAAGAGCAACACAGTCGTGCAGCACGTCCTTTTCAGGATGGCGCTCCGACTGTGCGTTTCTGGATGCGGGGGTTTCCTGTCTCCGGATGATGGACACGATCACTGCATTGCATGTTTGGGGGTCCAGCATGTTAATGCGGTGCTCGCGGGCGGTTCATGTCGTCATTGCGATGCCATGACCGTTGCACAGCTAAGATCGCGGCTAACTTTCGCAAGAGAGCGAGCCACCCCAGTTGCCTCCTGTTCTAAAAAAGCAGCGGGCGCTCGGGCAGATCTGAGGGTTTCAGCGGGAGCTAATCCGCCGCCCACGGGCTCGCGGACCTCTCGCTCCTCACGGCGCTCCATCCAAGCTTCGGGTGGTGAGAGTGATCCGTCTAACCAGATGGTAGCTCTCACACTCGCTGACACCGGAGATCAGATGTCCTCCGCGGCATCGGAGGGTGGGCTTTCACTGTCCGACGAAGATCCGGACCCGCTCGCCCCCTCCGGGCAGGTGAGCGCTGTCAAATCGGATCCTGAAGCGGACATGTTAGCCGTGCTTTCCCGGGCTGCTTCGGCCGTGGGGTTGGAGATGGTTTATCCCCCAGCTCCGCGGCCGGACCGACTAGATGGGTGCTACGTAGAGGACCAGAAGGCGAAGCCTTCGAAGCCTCTCGTCCCCTTCTTCCCGGAAGTGCACAGTAGGCTCACGCAGTCCTGGAGGGCACCTTTCTCTGCCCGTGCTGCGAGTGCCTCCGCCCTCACCGCCCTTGACGGCGGAGCTGCCAGGGGGTATGAGGCGATCCCGTCAGTGGAGCGCGCTATCGCGGTCAATCTTTGTCCGCGCGGCGCCTCTACGTGGCGGGGTTTGCCCCGCCTCCCGTCCAAAGCCTGTAGGTTGTCTGCCTCCCTCGGAGCCAGAGCTTATAAGGCTGCGGGCCAGGCTGCTTCTGCTTTGCACGCGATGGCCACCTACCAGCGCTACCAAGCGCAGGCGCTGGCCGAGCTGCACGAGGGCGGGTCCAACCCAAGCTTATTACATGAGCTGCGCACCGCGACCGACTATGCTCTTCGGACTACTAAGTCCGCCGCGTGTGCGCTGGGGAGGACGATGTCCACACTTGTGGTTCAGGAACGCCACCTCTGGCTAAACCTGGCCGATATGCGCGACGTTGACAAAGTTCGCTTTCTTGACTCGCCCATATCCCAGGCTGGCCTGTTCGACGACACCGTCGGTGAATTCACCCAGGAATTCAAGGCGGTGAAAGAGCAGTCGGATGCGATGGGCAATGTCATCTATCGGCGTGGTCGTAAGCCCGCTCCGCCCGCCGAGCCATCCACCTCCGCTGTTCCTCGCCGAGGGCGCCCGCCAACGAGTGCTGCCCCGCCCCCGCCTGCGCCTCCGGCCAAGCGGGCGCGGCGTTCACCTCGAAAGCAGGCAGCCCCTCCTGCCCAGGGCGCCGTTAAGTCCGGTAAATGGACCGCGAAGCGTCCCTGAGACAGGCCATCCGGAGAAGAGGAAACTTGCTCTTTCCCCGCTGGAGGGCGGGGCCCCGATAACAACGGTACTTTTCAGTGCCACCAAAACATCAGTAAAAGAGCACTTTTTCCCTTCCCCGGATGTGACTGCACGAGTTCTGCCAGTCCGGGACGCGCTGCCTTCCGGCTCGCAGACTCTACGTGCTTCGCCAGTGGCTCACGAGCGCTGGGGGGACGGTCTCCCTTCCCTCAGCCCTCCAGCCCCCTCTCCGGAGTCAGGGTGCGGAGCCAGAGCGAATCGCTCTCCTCCAGCTCTTCCGCGGGACCCTCGTGCTTCCCAGATCAGCACACCCACTCTGCGCTGCCCCACCGCTGGTACGTCAGCGATTGTAGCGATGACTCCATTAGCGAGGGCTCTGCCTGCCTGGTTAGCGCGGGCCAGCCCCTCGCGGTGGCTCATACGCACAATCAGACTCGGTTACGCGATTCAGTTCGCGAAACGGCCCCCCAAGTTTACGGGCGTGTATTTCTCCAGGGTCAACCCCCTGTCCGCCCCTGTCTTGCGAGAGGAGATTGCTGCCCTCCTGGCGAAGGGTGCAATCGAGCCGGTTCCTCCAGCCGAGATGGAGAGTGGGTTTTACAGCCCATACTTCATCGTACCCAAAAAGAGCGGTGGGTCACGGCCAATCCTAGTTCTGCGCGTTTTGAACCGCTGTCTGCACAAGCTGCCGTTCAGAATGCTCACGCAGAGGCGCATTCTCCAATGCGTTCGTCCTCGGGATTGGTTTGCAGCCATAGACCTGAAGGACGCGTATTTCCATGTCTCCATTCTTCCACGCCACCGCCAATTTCTGCGGTTTGCGTTCGAGGGTCGAGCGTGGCAGTACAAGGTCCTCCCCTTCGGGCTCTCTCTGTCTCCGCGGGTCTTCACCAAACTCGCGGAGGGTGCCCTAGCGCCCCTTCGGCTCGCAGGCATTCGCATACTCAGTTATCTCGACGACTGGCTGATTTTAGCCCACTCGCGGGAGCAATTGATTATGCACAGGGACGAGGTGCTTCGGCATCTCCGCCTACTGGGGCTTCAGGTCAACCGAGAAAAGAGCAAACTCGCCCCCGTGCAGAGGATTTCTTTTCTCGGGATGGAGCTGGACTCGATCACCATGGTAGCGCACCTCTCCGAGGAACGCGCTCGCCTGTTGCTGAACTGTCTGAGGGAGCTCGACAGCAAACTAGTGGTCCCACTGAAGTTCTTTCAGAGGCTCCTGGGGCATATGGCATCCGCAGCCGCCGTCACGCCGCTCGGGTTGCTCCATATGAGACCACTTCGGCACTGGCTTCACGATCGGGTCCCCAGACGCGCATGGCACGCGGGCACACACCGGGTCTCGGTTACTGCGCTGTGTCGCCGCGCCCTCAGCCCTTGGAACGACCCCTCGTTCCTACAGGCCGGTGTGCCTCTAGGACAGGCGTCCAGCCATGTTGTTGTTTCAACAGACGCTTCCAACACGGGTTGGGGGGCCGTGTGTCGCGGGCATGCGGCTGCGGGCCTCTGGAAGGGTGCCCAGCTGCATTGGCATATCAATCGCCTAGAGCTGTTGGCAGTGTTCCTCGCTCTCCACCGCTTTTTACCGGTGCTGGAGCGGCAACACGTGCTGGTCAGGACGGACAGTACGGCGGCGGCGGCGTATATCAACCGCATGGGGGGTATGCGCTCTCGCCGCATGTCTCAGCTCGCCCGCCGTCTGCTCCTCTGGAGTCACCCGCGGCTGAAATCGCTGCGCGCCATTCACGTCCCAGGCACGCTCAATCGTGCAGCCGATGCGATCTCACGACAGCTGTTACGCCCTGGAGAATGGAGACTCCACCCCGAGTCTGTTCAGCTGATATGGGCGCGATTCGGGGAGGCCCAGATCGATCTGTTTGCTTCCCCCGAGAACGCTCACTGCCAGTTGTTTTTTTCCCTGACCGAGGGCTCTCTCGGCACGGATGCACTGGCCCACAGCTGGCCTCGGGGCATGCGCAAGTATGCGTTTCCCCCAGTGAGCCTGCTCGCGCAGTTTCTGTGCAAGGTCAGGGAGGACGAGGAACAGGTTCTGCTAGTTGCGCCCCTTTGGCCCAACCGGACCTGGATATCAGAGCTCTCACTCCTCGCGACGGCCCTCCCCTGGCGGATCCCTTTGAGAGAGGACCTACTCTCTCAGGGACAGGGCACCATCTGGCACCCTCGCCCCGATCTTTGGAACCTCCACGTGTGGTCCCTAGACGCGAGGAAGACTTAGGTAACCTACCGACTGCGGTGGTTAATACCATCACTCAGGCTAGAGCCCCCTCCACGAGGCGCGCCTACGCCCTGAAGTGGAGTCTATTCACTGAATGGTGCGTCTCTCGCAGAGAAGACCCCCGAAATTGCCAGATTAGTGTTGTGCTCTCTTTCCTTCAAGAGAAGTTGGACAGCAGGCTGTCGCCCTCCACTCTCAAGGTTTACGTGGCCGCCATCTCCGCTTATCATAGCGCGGTAGCTGGCGGCACCGTGGGAAAGCATAACCTGGTCATCCAGTTCCTTAGGGGTGCTAGGCGAATTAATCCATCTCGCCCCCCTCTCATGCCCTCTTGGGATCTCGCCCTCGTTCTCACGAGTCTGCGATCCGATCCCTTTGAGCCACTCGAATCAGTATCTCTAAGATTTCTGTCCCTGAAGACAGCTCTGCTGGTTGCGTTGGCCTCCATCAAGAGGGTCGGGGACCTGGAGGCATTTTCGGTCAGTGACTCGTGCCTGGAATTCTGGCCGGATTACTCTCACGTTATCCTGAGACCCCGCCCCGGTTATGTGCCCAAGGTTCCTACCACCCCCTTTAGAGATCAGGTAGTGAACCTGCAAGCGCTGCCCCCGGAGGAGGCAGACCCAGCCCTTTCTTTACTTTGTCCAGTTCGCGCTCTGCGCATTTATGTGGACCGTACTCAGAATTTTAGATCATCTGAGCAGCTCTTTGTCTGTTATGGCGGTCGGCAGCAGGGAAGTGCCGTATCGAAACAAAGATTATCCCACTGGATTGTGGATGCCATTTCACTCGCTTATTCGAGTCGAGGTCAGCCGTGTCCCCCGGGAGTACGTGCACACTCCACTCGGAGCGTTGCATCCTCTTGGGCGCGTGCACGCGGCGCCTCTCTAACAGACATCTGTAGAGCTGCGGGCTGGGCGACACCCAACACATTTGCAAGGTTTTACAATCTGCGAGTGGAGCCGGTTTCCTCAAGGGTATTAGGTAACCCTTTGGTGATTGAGGAGACAACTCGGTAGGGTGTTGAAACACGCTTGCGGCGCCATTCTCCCTAAACACGGAGGTACGTGCGCCTTTTTTATCTGTCAGTAAAGTTCCCCGTCAGGTGAGCCCTGCAGATTCCTCCGTGGCCCCCAGCACTGACTCAGCGGAGGAGTCACTTGCTGGCCCACTACGTTGTAGGTTCGCCCGCTGGTCAGCCCGCGTTTTGGGTATAGGTGCCTGCTATGCGTGATCCCCATTAGGCGATCCCATATGCTTATTCCGCCACGGTTAAGTCCCCCCCCTGGGCGGACCCGTGTCTTCCCTCTCCGCTAACCACTCTTTTGCTATGCGTACTCCCCCTTTTTAGGGCTAGTCCATAGGTAAATTCTGCCATCTATCCCCCCCTTGGGTAACGGATGGCCTCCGCAGCGTCCTCCCTATCGGGATTGCACGCTTCCCAACGTACTGTCGTATTTCCTAGAATTATCTAGATGCTCACGACTTCCCAAAAAATATATCTAAATCCGTAAAACTTCTGTTGAAGTAGGATAAATTAGGGCCAGGGACACGTTGGAGGACCGTGCCCCCCATGATGTGGGTGCGTCACGCTTGCTTGACTATCTCCTCATCGGGGGTGTTGGTAAGGTGCAGTCATTATGGCGCTTTCCATATTCTCCCATTTATGGCACTGAAGTTCCCCAACCGAAGGGGAACGTTCGAGGTTACAGAAGTAACCCTTCGTTCCCCGAGGAGGGGAACGGAAGTGCCATATTCCGTCGCCATAATGACTGTCCCTTAGCTGTTTGAAAGTCTCTTCAGCTTAAAAGGATGGCGTCTGCTGGCTTCAGGTGTGCTTATATGCTGAGATAATTGCAGATGTCGCACACCTGCGCAAGCTTACGCTGCCAATTAATTTCATTCATTGGCCCGTTCAATACTCTCCAGATAAGCGGCTTCTGATCCGAATCCTCCCATTCATGGCACTTCCGTTCCCCTCCTCGGGGAACAAAGGGTTACTTCTGTAACCTCGAACGTTCTCCAGCCTCTGGCGCCTAGACTGCGACTCTGCACAAGAAGCTTGGCCAGAGGAAAAATGATCGAACCCAACAGAGCCTGGTTTCTCTTGAGGTTTTTCTCTTCACTTCCTTAATTGGTGAAGTTTGTTCCTCGCCACTGTTGCCCCTGGCTTGCTTGGCTGGGACTTGTGGATCTTGCTCTAGTGTTTGGACTTTCAGCTGTGAAATTTATACCACTTTGAACTAATCTAAACTTCAACGCTGAAAACTGGAGTGACAGTTTCAATTTACTAGAACTTCTATGTTAAGCTACTTTGACACATCTACATGGTAAAAGCTCTATAGAAATAATCATGCATTGAATTGAATCATCCTTTGAAGGTGAAAAAATACACCACAGCACACACTACTTTAAAGGCAAGATATGAAAAAGCACAACAGGGGCACTTTAATGGAAAGAGTTCATTCAAATGCTATTCAAAGTGCATTAGTCTGAACTGATAAAAACACAGACCCTCACCATAGTAAGATAAGTGTAGTCTGTGGCCCGGCCCAGACCTAATTTAGTCTTCTGATCCGGGCTCATGCCTGCCAGCATACAATAGAATATATGATAGTTCCTCTCATCCGCTGCCTACAAAGACAATTAAATGTTATTTTATCACTGATATTTCTCTGCAATCAATAGCATGATGAAGAGAGTCCCTTACTCACCTGTCTGCAAACTCTTGATTTCTCCAGCAGGTACTGCTCGATCTTTGCCCCCTCAATAGCTCCTCGCTTGTTGAAGTGAATATCAACATATTTTCCAAACCGGCTTGAGTTGTCATTGCGTATTGTCTTGGCATTACCAAATGCTGTGGAAACAAGAAAAACTTAAAAGAAAGAAATCTCAGCCTCATTGTGATGTGACACACGGTGGAAGTTAGACACAGAGAAAAGAGACAGCAGTGCATTTGGGAAATTCCTCTAATTTCAACTAAAGTCTGGTAGATTGTATGGTTTGTTTTATTTGCAAACAAGTATTTGTAATTGAAAAGATGTAAACCAAACGGTCAAACAAACCTGTTGGGTAATCTCCGGGGGGGTCATATCCTTTGCTATAATGTAGTGTCTCACAGACAGTACTTTGGGTTAAGCTACTTGAAGACCAACGGGTTAACATCGATGCTAAGGGACTGTACTATTCACTGTCTTCTGTCACTATTCACTGTCCTAATTGTCAAGAACGGTTAAGCCAAACAAAGCAATAAAATTTATGTCAATAACAATGATAAGCGCTGGACTTTTTTTACTCTTTATTGATCTAAGAGCCAATCACACAGCAGAAATCTGCAACAATGGGAATCTAAAAAGAGCATTGATATTAGAGATGCATTGAATTTTCTGCCACCGAAAATTTATTGGCCAAAATTACCGTATGTTATGCCATTTAATGGAGTATCTAATTTTTGTAGCTTTAGTCATTGTTGGGAGGCTCTTTTAAATCTGGAAGCATTAACAACTTATATAGAAATATATATCATTATCATTCAACATGGGAAATAACTATCGAGAATGTATTTTTGCCATATCACCCAGCCCTATGTGGAAGCAACAGTGAACCATACTGACTGTTGCATTGTTCTATATTCAGAAATATGAGTGACAGGTCTTTTATATTTTATACTCTTTCAGTTCATCAGTTGAAGCTCGAATTGGTTTGGCAACATCTTCACATGCTGAAATAGAATTTTAATTAAAATGAAAAGAAATTCAAAGCTGACACAATAGAGAAATTAAGATTAAAAGTGAAAGTAAAAGTAAAGTGATTTGTTGCTAAATGTGCAGACCGACATTCAGACTTTGTGCTCTGTACTATTCCCATCCAAGTGCACACACACAGACTAGGGGAGTCAGCAATAGGTGATTCAGTGTTTTTAGTCAGGTTTCTCACCTGTCAAAAATAATAATGTAAATAATAATAAAAAAAAAATCCCACCAAAATTAGGCCATGACTTCCCATGAAATAAAATTAAATATAGCCTAGTCTGCTATATTTTTTTAGATAAAGAGCTCATAAAAAAGAGAAAACTTAAAAATCTTCATTTACTTAGTTCTAGAGTTATAATTAATTTATTCATTCAATTTCCTTTGGCTTCGTCTCTTTTTTTCATCAGGGATCGCCACAGCAGAATGAACCGCCAACTTTCCCAGCATATGTTTTACACAGCGGATGCCCTTCCAGCTGTACACTACACTACGGACAATTTAGTTTGTTCAGTTCACTTATACCGCATGTCTTTGGGCTGTGGGGAAAACCAGAGCACCCAGAGGAAACCCACACCAACACAAGGAGAACATGCAAACTCCACACAAAAATGCCAACTGACCCAGCGGGGACCCAAACCAGCAACCTTCTTGCTGTGAGGTGACAGTGCTAACCACTGAGCCACTGTGTCACTCTGCGTTTTGATTTATGTAATATAATTTGTAATGTTAGGTTATGTAAACTGATTTCTCTTCTGGAATTAAAATTCATTCAGAGCAATTATTGCATAAAATAAACCAAAAGTCTTTAACAACTGCCTCTGTTTCTGATTCAGTGACACGTTTCAGTAAACAAGCTGCTCGAGATCGTGCCTAAAGCCTCAAGTTTGCTTCTGAGGCTTAAGCATGTGAGAAGCTGGGCATGAATCCATAAGCAGAGACATGGCACAGAAGGGTGAAGTGTTAAGCCCTGTTCACAATGACAACAATTAAATCGCTTGAGGTCACAAATCACTTAAAATCAACCAAAATCTCTTTAATTATTGATTATGTCCTGTTGCTTCAATATTCTGAACCTTCGAATGCTTCTTTACCAACGATGTAGAGCAGATCGCTGGGCTGTAAAAGATGTGACTTGGCACAAGCAATTACAAGATCAGTGTCAAACAGTTAGGGGATAAGTCATAGGTTTACAGATGGTCTTCCTAACCTTCCAAAATCGGGTTGGCCTCCAGAACCTGCTGCTCAATCCAGGAGTGTTGGCCACTTATAGCTGCCAGGAACTGCAGGATGAGCTTGGTGCTCTCCGTCTTTCCAGCTCCAGACTCACCGCTGAACACGCAACATGGTAAACAGGGTCATGTGCACTAACCAGTAGTAAAAACATTAATCCTCATGCTGCTGTGCAGGCTTTTAGTTACCTGATGATGCAGCACTGGTCCTTCTTGTTTCTTTGCATGCTGAAGTAGCAGTTGTCTGCAATGCCAAAGATGTGCGGCGGCATCTCTCCGATCTTTTTGTTGGTGTAGAGCCGGATCTGATCGGGGGTGTAGATGGGCAGAAGCTGGTATGGATTCACCGCTACCAGGATTGATCCAGTATATGTCTGAAATGCATTATTTTTGAAAACAAACAATATAAACGTATTAAAGCTGAACAGATTTAAAGATATGACAAAATAACAATAAACATGATTGCAAAGGGTTCTAATATTTTCTTGAATTTACAAGATTCACAATGATTTATATTTACTTATATTGATTATCGATACTCAAAATTTCGATACTTAAAATTTCGTTGTTGGTCCAAAAACAGCTTTTATTGAAGCTAAGCTGCTAATAAGGTTCAGTTCATATTTTGTCTCAGTATGAAGTCAAAGTACCAGGAAAGATCAAAGAGTAACATCTACTTTACATCATTGCCTCTTTAGACCTTCATACTCAGTAGGAGGAGAGTAATATGAGATCCAAACACAGGATTACACCAACAACAAAATGATTTACATTTACATTTAGTCATTTAGAAGACGCTTTTATCCAAAGCGACTTACAAATGAGAACAAGGAAGCAATTTACACAACTAAGAGCAACAATGAATAAGTGCCATAGGCAAGTTTCAGGTCTGTAAATTCTAAGAAGGGAAGTATTAGTAGTATTAGAATTTTTTTTTTTTTTTGTACAGTTAGTGTGACATTCAGAGAGGCAATTGCAGATTAGGAAGTGAAGTGGAGACAAAATAGTTGAGTTTTTAGTCGTTTCTTGAAAATAGCGACTGAGTCTGCTGTTCTGATGCAGTTAGGGAGTTCATTCCACCAACTGGTCAGATTGAGCGTGAGCGTTCGCGAAAGTGATTTCTTCCCTCTTTGGGATGGAACCACGAGGCGACGTTCATTCACAGAACGCAAGTTTCTGGAGGGCACATAGATCTGCAGAAGTGAGAGCAGATAAGAAGGAGCAAGGCCAGAAGTCACTTTGTAGGCAAACATCAGAGCTTTGAATTTGATGCGAGCAGCAACTGGCAGCCAGTGCAAACGGACTAGCAGCGGAGTGACATGTGCTCGTTTAGGTTCATTGAAGACAACTCGTGCTGCTGCGTTCTGGAGCAGTTGAAGAGGCTTGATAGGGTTAGCTGGAAGCCCAGCTAGTAGAGAGTTGCAGTAATCCAGTTTGGAGAGAACAAGAGCTTGAACAAGGAGTTGAGCTGCATGTTCAGATAAGAAGGGTCGGATCTTTCTGATGTTATAGAGTGCGAATCTGCACGATCGAGCAGTTCTAGAAATGTGGTCAGAGAAGTTTAGTTGGTCATCAATCATTACTCCAAGGCTTTTCACCATTTTGGATGCAGTAATGGTTGCCCCATCCATCTGGATTGAAAAGCTATGGTGTAGAGTCGAGTTGGCAGAAACTACAAGCATTTACGTTTTTGCGAGGTTCAGCTGAAGATGATGATCTTTCATCCAGTGTGAAATATCCAACAGGCAGGCTGAGATGCGAGCTGGAACCGAGGGATCATCAGGATGAAAAGAGAGGTATAGCTGGGTATCATCAGCATAGCAGTGGTAGGAGAATCCATGTCTCTGGATGACTGGTCCTAGAGATGATGTGTAGATAAAGAAAAGAAGTGGCCCAAGAACAGAGCCTTGAGGTACCCCAGTGTTTAGATGCTGTAGGTTGGAAACCTCTCCCTTCCAAGACACCCTGAATGACCTGTCAGAGAGGTAAGATCTGAACCATTGTATAACAGTGCCCGCAACGCCCAGTGACTCGAGCATAGATAGCAGGATCTGGTGGTTGACACTGTCAAAAGCAGCTGACAAGTCCAGCAAAATGAGGACTGATGATTTAGAGTCTGCTTTAGCCAGTCTGAGATCCCCCACGACCGAGAGCAGGGCAGTCTCAGTTGAGTGGCCTTTCTTAAAGCCGGATTGCTTGTTGTCCATGAGATTGTTTTGAGTAAGAAAGTCCAGGACTTGATTGAACACTACTTTCTCCAGAATCTTGGCCATGAATGGAAGCAGGGATACTGGTCTGTAGTTTTCAAGTAGCGTATGGTCCAGGTTGGGTTTCTTTAGCAGTGGGGTTACCCTAGCCTGCTTAAATGAAGTGGGGAATTAACCAGAGTCAAGAGATGTGTTAATTATGTGAGTCAGTGTTGGTATGACTGCAGGAGAGATGGCTTGCAAGAGATGAGAGGGAATGGGATCGAGTGGACAGGTGGTTGCATGGCTAGATAGCACGAGTTTGGACACCTCAGACTCAGAGAGCTGAGAAAAAGAGGTGAGTGTGTGTGGTGTTGGTGGTGTATCTTGCGTGTTTGTTGTAGGTGCAGCAAATTGAGCACTGATTTTTGCAGTTTTGGTGCAAAAGAATGTAGCAAAGTCATCAGTAGTAAGTGTGGAGGATGCGGGTGGAGGAGGAGGATAGAGGAGGGAGGAAAATGTTTTAAAAAGTAGGCGAGGATTAGTGGCATTGTTGATTTTCAGACGGTAATATGTCTGCTCTGCAAAAGTAGCCTCAGCTGAGAAAGAGGACAGAAGAGTTTGGTATGTTAAGAGCTGTGCAGGATTTTTAGTTTTCCGCCAAATTCTCTCTGCAGCCCGAAGTTTTGAGCGATGCTCACGGAGAGCATCCGAGAGCCAGGGTGCAGGAGGACTGGCACGGGCTGGCCTGGATGCAAGAGGACATAATCGGTCTAGACATGATGCTAGTGTGGAGCAGAGTGTATCAGTGGCACTGTTCGAATCAAGTGCAGAGAGTTTGCAAGATGGAGGAAGAGAGTCTGAAACAATGGTGGATAGTCTATTGGGTGAGAGAGATCGTAGGTTTCTGCGAAAGGTAACCAGTGTTGGAGTGTGTGGCGGCTCAGGAGTAATGTGGATGTTGAGAGACAGAAGGAAATGATCCAATATTTGTAGTGGAGTTCTTTTGTGTTTAGTTGAAGAAATTAATTTATATAAGTTTGGAATGAGTAGAGCATGAGTACAGAAAATGACTGACGTTTTTTTTTGCGTGAACTGTCCCTTTAATACACTTTGGGTATTGGTTCTATCACATAGCAAAAAACCCAGAACATGCTTTGATGACCAATTCATGAACAAATGATTCTTTTGAGTCTGGTCAGGATAAAAGATTCACAAATCTGTGTAAAACCTGCTCAAAATTAAGTGAATTGATTCAAATTTGCTGATTGTGTGAGTTGTTACTAAATCACTCAATGTCAAGTCATTTTTGGTTAGGAATCTGAACATTAAGTAAATTCTATTAGTAAGACTGTATACAACTTTGCAATTCTGCATTTTGTGCTCTTTTCCAAACTAAATGTGCAAAGAGATATTTTTGGATGTAATTATGCCCAAACATACTGCATGTCATTAACAAAGCCAACACCATTGTTTTTCCTGCTTAAAATTCCAAATATATGTTTGAGCTCTTCTAAACAACTTCACTGAAACAGCTTTCATCTTATCTAAAACCAGATTTGGACAAGTTTGGGCATAATGGTAGACAGCTGATGAGTTTACGAAACAACCAGACATCTAGGTTCAGACTAGTGCTGATGTTTTTATAAGACTAAGAAAGAGCAGGTGACAATAAAATGACGACTGAACAGTTCTAGTTAGAAAAGAAGTAAATAAATCTGAGCAGCTGCATTCACAAAGCACATTTCCATACAAATGACTTACACCCTCTGACTGAACCATTAATTGAAGACTGACAAACTTACAATTCATTCTATTAAGTATTCATGTGGTGTAAATAGCTAAAGGGGATTCATTGATGAAAGAAAAGAAAAGGTCACATTCCACAAAAACCAATTTGATCTGCACTCTGAAAAAAAAGAGTAAAAAATAGCCACACCATCTTAGAGACCAAAACAAATAATTCATTTGTTTCTCTCATTGTTCTGATGAAATGAAAACACATGCCCTGCTTTCACATTCAGCAAACACTACAATGAAGGTAAAATGTTTTATTCTCCATATGTTGTATAGTCATAAATCAATGCCAATGTTCTCAAGATTCCCTATTTTCCCGAGCGAATGAGCTTTGAAACAAAATCTTAAAAAATGAATTTCAGCTGCTTCACCCTTTCTCATGCAAGTTTTAAACACTCCAACTGACCCCCTTGTGTGAGTTTTTAATGTGATTCTTATTTAAAACACATAATTTTAAAGTTTAAAGTCAGTTATGAAAGACACCACAGTCCTTATGATTCATGCATATGTGATTTTTTGTGTATATTTTCTTGATGCGTATAATATTCCGTTTCTCAAAATATGTGTTCGTTCATTCAATCATGCATTCATTTATTCATTTTATTTTCAGCTTAGTCCCTTTATTAATATGGGATCACCACAGTGCAATAAACCGCCAACTTATCCAGCACGTTTTACACAGCGGATTGCCTTCATGCCACAAACCATTATTGGGAAACACCCAATAATCACTCACTCACTCACACACATACACTACGGTCAATTTAGTTTACCAAATTCACCTATACCACATGTCTGTGGTTTGTGGGGGAAACCAGAGCACCCCGAGGAAACCCACGCGAACATGGGGAGAACATGCTAACTCCACAGAGAAATGCTAACTGACCCAGTCGAGGCTCAAAACAAAGATCTTTTGGCTGTGAGGCGATTGTGCTACCCACTGCGCCACAGCGTCACTTTTAAAATATGTGTAAGAACAGGTATTTCATCATTTATAAAGAGCTTAATAATGATCACATTGTATGGTCTACACACATAACATAAATTGTGATTTTAAACAAGTGCCATACACTTCTTTCTCTGACTCAGCATTAGCTATCATTGGAAAAGAGATTTCAATTTAGATTTTATGATCTAAATTGATAATGTGATGCACTGTATGTTCTAATCACACCAGTGTGATGTGCTCCATGAACTAGCCTAGACTGATCACACCAGTTTGATCATACACTTCAAGACTAGGAATGGCTGATGTGAAACTGACATTTTGACACAATGTCAAGATACCAGTGCTATTCGAAACACCAGGTCACATGACTAAGGTGATTTAAAACACCCAGGTCAAGTGACTAAAGTGTTCTGAAAGACCAGGTCACGTGACTGAAGCAATT